GAGAAATTATATTATTATACTTTTGTTTTACAATATCATTCTTTTTTTTTTTTTTCAAAAAATGGCAAGAAAATATGACTTTACGCTGAAAAATATTTTTAATTTAGCGACTGAAAAATAAGTCTTCTTAAACTTTATGTAATGAACTTCGCTGTATTTTGTTATAAAAATCGTAAATTTATATTATAATTACATGAATGATGTAATTTTGTTTAATTTTTTTTTTGGATTTTTTATGTTTGTATTTTTGTTGTTGATTTTTTTCAAAACTAACATTTATGCCATAAGTGTAAAATTACAATCACAACTTACATAACAATAAGATTTGAGCCATTTAATAGGAAATGTAATTTTGTTTATTAATGGAACTTTTTAACGCTTGGGCTTATATCAATAGAAGCATAATTTTGTGTAACTTTCTAGCAGTAAACAGAGTAATCAGAACCGCCTACAGATTTTATCAACAACCGTGGAATACCGTTGTTTATCTACCAGCATATGTTATAATAGCAAATTAAACATTAGTCAAACAATTTTTCAATTCGATTCGTCCTTTTCATGTTATAGATGTTTAATAGTATTTGATATCATCCCTTCCAATTGTAATAAGGCGCATTTTTGGATTTATCAGTGTATATTTGATATTAAATCTTCTCTTAAAGTTCACATTATCTTTATAAAAACCAATCATTACAGTTGTTAAACTATACTATTGTAACCATTAATTTACCAAGTATTAGATTTTTATAAAATGTATTATTATTAATTGGATCATTTTCTTGAGATTGAAAATTTAATGGAATTCCAGGGAATTGAGTACATGTATGTCAAAGTTGATGTTTCCCAGTAAGGAATAAATAATTAAAAAAATATATAAAAATTATTGTGGTGTATATAGAAAAATTGTTCCCTTAGAACGAAGCGTTTAGAAATAGTTTCTGAGTAATTCTGCAAAATAATATAACATTTTTTTTTTTGTATACAAATTTTTAGAATACTAATTATTTTATTGATATGCAAACTAAATTATAATAGTTATGATTTTTTTGTGATATGCTTAATCGAGAGAGTCATTATATTAATTTGTTGAATAATACAAAAAAAATGTTTAATTAGATCTTCCTAAATCTCAATTTTTTCATAATAATTTGCAAAAATGATGTTCTACACAATGCTTTGTTATAATTGATTTCTTTGTAATCGTCTGTATAACCATTACTATTATATATATATAGGTTTTCTTTGTTTCATACATGTCTTGGATGGCTGTTATTAAATACAATAATCTTAAAACATATACGCAAAAAGCTAACCAGCCAATACAAAATTTATATTTGTAATTTCCATCCCGAGTAAAAGAGAATTGTTTTTATTTTAATTTAAAATATTAATAAGTGTAGTTTATTCAATATTCTTAGTACATATACGTTTTCTCTCACATACATTTTTGCATAAAAAATATATTTCCTTTGAAAATTTTAATATTAAAATGTTTCGATTTTTAGTTCCATGGAAGTTTTATCTTTTGTAGGTTAACTTAATCTTTAAAGAACTTTATAATATATAATTTTATAGTCCATCAACTTTTAACCATTTTCCGACTGTTGTATTTTAATTTCTTTTTTTTTTGTAAAAAATTCCATAACTAAAATGTGTAGACGTCGATTTTTTAATTATTTCTCAAATAACAATATTATTAAAATTTTAAAACTAACAATTGCGAAAAAATAAAATATATTCTTTTACAGACAGAAAGAGGTTTTAAATATTTATACCATGCAGTAATTTTGTCTTTTACTAAATTTATATTCAATGACATGACTATAATCAGAAGTACACAGTTATAGGTTATCCCTTAAATACTTTTCTATTATTTTAAAATATTTTTAATGTCATCAACAAATGAATCAAAATTATTAATTTGCTTTTATATTGTTGTTAATTGTAAAATTTAAATACTATAATTGAAATTTCGGTTTCATTTACTGTTCAGTATATGTAATTCGGCTTTTAACCTCTACATTTTGCTTCCTTTTCTTAGTTTTTCCTCGTTTGTAGCAAGTTCCTTAATTACCATACCATTGTTAGTCACTAAATGTTCTGTTTGTTAATGTGACACAATACATAATTTGGTTGAAACAGTGTAGAAATTACTTTGAACAAAACTACCACCCATCGAAATATAAAAGCAACCTTGCATACTATTTTAATGAAAATTAAAGTTGTACAAAATAATAACGTTTTCATGTTTTATTATAATTTTTTTTGTACTGAAAGTAAAATAATAATATGCGTATAAAAAAACAGCTATATACTAAGTTTTATCTATTTGAAAGCTGTATGTAAACAAAAATCAGTTTCGACATAAAATTTTTAAATTAATTTATCGGTTTACCTTTCACAATTATTTTTAACATAAACACAACAGGCATTTCAATTTAAGCATTTTTTTCATTATTTGAAATTTATTATTGTCACGCGCTTTACCAATTCTCACAGGAAAATATTCAATACTATTAAATTTTGTATCGTTCTGAGAATGTACGTTACTTAAAGAAGTATCCATAAATGATTCGATAATTAAATATTCTAGATTAATGAATAGCGTTCATTAACTAGGAGGTATGGTAATATGCGATGTAATAATAGATATCAATAGGAAACTCGTCGTTACCAACAATATTGCGTCGTGGTTGATTATCAAAGGATATGAAATACGATATCACCCCCTCTCCAATTTGAGAGAAGATAATGAGGAGGGGATAGACATAACAGAGCTTGATTTATTTGATGACAGTACTGTAATGGTTTTGCAGATATCCGTCGTATGTTAATCCTCTTTTTCACTCTCCGCTACCAAAGTTGGTTTCTTTATCTGTCGACAATCCATCAACTGATGTACAATTAACGTCGACGAATAGCCGTTTAGGGTTTTGTTATATGTATGAAAAATTAAACCAGATGATGAATTTTTAACCGACGGTAATGTCAAAAAATAAAATAAACCACGCTATTGTAAAGCTGTACACCGAGTTTTGAGACAGCTAATAACATTGCGTTTTCATAGTGTATGTATATATATTTTATTCTCAATGGGAGAAGAGGAACTACATGCGTATTGTAAGAGTAATGTGTCATTTGAAAACGATTTTCCAACAACTTTAATTTTATATACATGATACATTGCGTACAATTCCAGAGGAAGGATGGAAAACCTCATTCCAATACAACAAAGACACAACAAACGAGGGATGGCTGTCAAGAAAGTGCGAGTAAAATTTCATTGTGCCCGTGTTTGTCGAAAATTTCCATATGTTTCTTCATCGAGCCCGAATATTGATTAAGTGTATATTAAACGTACAAACAGACCTAACGAATTACTTACACCGTTCTTATAACACAGAATTAGAATATTGAAATAGTTTTACAAGTGTTCATACATTTCTAAATTTTATTTTTCAATTTACATAAATAGGAATTTATGCTTTTAAGCGCTCTGTAAATAAATTACTGACGTTTCAAACATAAAATTATTATAAAAGGGAAAAAATGTTCAATTTTTTTATCAGTTACATCAATGCAAACAGAACTATCTCACTTGTTTTTGCAATAAATGTACTAGTCTTAATAATCGTAGACAATTTTTGATAAAAACAATATTGTTTACAGCGACCATTGATATTTATTATAATTTTATGTTTCGTTTAAAAAATTCAAAAAGCGTGCGAAAACAATTTGGATGTTTCTGTTGTCATAAAGAATATAACCGTTTGGGTTTCAAGATGCCACTCATTGCTGTTAACTCAAAATAGCTCTAGTTTTGTGTAAAGATCTTGAAAGGTTTCAACGTATTTTATGCTAAACACCAAATATGGTAAATACGCTATAAAAATATGTTAAGGCCAGTATGAAAGTTTTATGTATTCTCGAATGAACCGATAAAAATTTTTTGTACTCATAAAGGATATACACGTTTTTACATGAGTTCGACGATGATAACCTATTGAAATAATGGCCTGTAAAATAAATAATAAACCTCATAAATGGAGAAGAATTTAGTTTTTATCAATTTTTCATATTATTTATGGTGTATCAGGCGGTAAGCAATAAATATGTTTATGACATATTTTAAATAGAAATGATAGAAAAATTATAAATATAGCTTTTTATTTTTTATCAATAATTGACTATTTAAAATTTTTTTGGATTTAATATTAATTTTACTTTTTATTTTAACGATTATTATTAAATCAAATTTATTGCACATTAAGTTTGGGAGCACGATAAATTCCAGTAAAAACTTTTCTGATATTTCTATGTTATAAACTCTCCATAGATATATATGTCAATTACTAAAAACTGATAAAACATAAAATAATTCACCTATTTTCTTGTTGTGCCTTGCTTGAGCGCTATACCTCCTAAGCTGGTCTGATTATGTTGCCCACATAATAGTTATTTATTAGGGGCCCGCATATACAAACATTGATTTATTTAGCGTCTTACAAAGATTTTCGAACCTTAAGAAAGCTATAAAATAAAGAAAAATTTACAAGACATCTAATCAATTTACCACAACCATCAAAATGAATATTAAGATTTAGCAAAATCAAAAATGAATCAAGAGTATTTTACGCACGAATTGTTAAATAACGTTTTAAAGGAAATGACCCGGAGCGTTTCAATTTGCGCTTCGATTAATTTCAATTTATCCCTCAGCTCAGATAGATGTTCAAAACAATTATTTACGACTACAGAATATCGTCATGCTTTCATAATACAAACAAACCTTAATTAACCTTAAGTAATTTCTTGACTTAGCACTTTTTAAATTCAGTCTATACTCATGCCATTTTATACCCATCATATACTTTATCAACAATATTTGGATAAAATTGAACGCAAAGATGAAATAGGGTTGAAACTTGAATTTTTTTAAAAGGATTTCAAATTTTTAATTCTCATGAAAGTTTAATTACATATAAATAATAACGACTTACTTATACGAGTTAATTTAAAGGCGTCTGCTGTGTTGATAAGATCCACGTAAGCTTGTAACTCGAATCTTCTGGCAGTATTGTTTTGGTTGTGTTTGAGCACAGCAAACTTAAAAGCAGTTTGCACCTCGTCGGATCCTTGTTCGAAAATAGCTCCTGTAAAATAAAATAAAGAAGAATTTACTTCTTGAAATGTTGTAAGCCTAATCTAATACATGATATATCGACCCTTTAAGGATGTATTGTTTCACTTGGACAATGAAAATGAGAAACGAAAAAGTAATAAAAAAATTTGAAACCAAAAGTTTGTTTTTTTATTTTAAAACTACAGTTGTATGTTTTTTTTTCCGAAATTGGAAAATAATATCCGAACCACCCTACTCCATTATGGTTTATTAATTCTAGTTGAGTGAACATTTTTGTTCTGTTCACTTATAGGACTTATAACTTGTCACCGTCATACTAATATTACACTAGAGTTCATGCGTGTACCATAATCGCATTAAATTGTCAAGAAAAAACTATCATTAAAACGGTCATGAGACTTTCTAATCTTCCTTTGCAATTTATCATAACAGTTGATAGAATGCATTATTATATTTTTGAACCATTCCATGATTATTTGGCGTTTAACATATTGTGACGGGTAATTTTGTAGAGATAACGTTTTAGGATGTTAAATTCGTCTTCAATCGTGATCGCCTCAAATGAAATAAAACGATCGCGTTTCAAGTCCTCGCACTACATGCCCATAGTGTTCATTTATTGTAAATCTGAATTTAAGTTCAACATTAAACTTTGAATGTGACCGCAGTCTTTATGTGTTAAGTACACAGGAATAGCTACGTGTAGTGTGGAAACTTCATTACACTGTTTCAACGTCACCATTGTTTTGTTAAATTACTAATGCAGGTAGTTTTGACCTGCCGAACCGCAATGTACACAGTAGATGGCTCAATGGATGCTAAGTACGTAAAAGCAAGGCACTATTGATAATTCGATTTAGCAATTTTAGCGATTTAAATAACCATTCCGATAAGCAGCCGACGTCAAACGGATTACCGTTTGTTGACCGTAGTTATATTTTTCTAGACTTCCCTTCTATAGCATTTTGAAACAATACTGAGATCGCAAATTAAAAAAAAGTCCTGCGCTCTAAATTCATTATTATATGGTTTTACTTCTCGTCGGAGGATATAACTTTATCGAACGGACCATAACAAATTAGAATAGACTACAGTCGATCAACTGTGAAAATACCTTTTTATTTAGCTTTTATTCGTTCTAATTCAATTGAGTTTTCTGTAAAACTTGCGACAGTTTTTATTCTAAAACAATCAAAAAGAACTCCGGACCTTAAACAGTAGTCTTTTCTTTATATGTTTACGTTGAGGACAACTTTGTCGGTACTGATATTTTTATCTGTAAACTTTTTATTTAGTTTGTGAACTTTAAATTGTATTATAGAACATAAACGACCATGTAAAATCTAATACTCGACTGAATCAAACACAACCACAGCTACACATTATAATAAATGTTTTCTCAGTAATAGAACTGTGAATAGCAGCCCAATATCATATCTGCCAGGATCAGAGGATATCATCTTCTCTTGAAAATCTAGCGTTTATTCAGTTTTCTATTAAACGAGAATACTTCAGAAGTATAACGTTTAGCTTTCATTTCAAAAAATTATAAGCAAAAAATTTTATTACCTAAATGGAAGCTGAGAGTAAAAATTTATAAGAAAACTCAATTGGCATTAAATAAAAAATGTAGGTACAAATTTTACATTTCATAAAATGTTTCTGAAAAATTGTCAGTTTGGTAAATTTTATGTTGATGCAAGTTATTTTTAGAGCTTATATTTATAAATAATTTATGGAAAAAAATGTTCCTGTCGGAGATGTGATTACTATATTAACAACGAACTCGTAATTTAACAAAGGCAATAAAATTGTTTTTAAGTGAAATGTTTTTATTCGTGGTATTATTTATTCAAAAAGACAAAAAAAATAATTAAATGTTAAGACTAACTGTTGAATTGTATAAAAAAATCGTAGGTCTAAGAGAATTTTTAATTTTTATAATTGTCTTTTAAAATTAAGCGTTTCATAAAATATTTAACAAACTCATTATATTATTTTTCAAAAGTTAAATTTTTATAATAGACTTATGATACTGTGTTTCGTTTCACAGTGACCCTTAAATACATTAATATTAATTACATTCATTATTATTATAAGGTATATGATTTAAAAGTTGGTTTAGCTGCAAGTAATTATTTTCTTCGGCATATTATAGTTGCTATACTTTTGAAAATTTATGAGGCAATATTATAAACAGTTTGAAAATAATACTTTACATTTGGAAATAAAAAATAATTGAGTCTTTCTGTACACTGAATGATTCTTTTAATCACTTTGTAATATTACTATAATAATAGAAAACTGGTTATCCACCATTCAATATTTTTTCTATTTAATAGTAAAAAAAAAGTAGAATCTCATTTAACTATTGAAGTTACTTCTAAAATTTATCCTTAAAAATAAATTATTTTTTCGTTATAAATACTAATACTTATTGCACTTCTAACAAATTGTTGATCCAAAAGTTGTCATTTAATTAATTAGATAATTTTCTATTTTATAACCTGATTAAATATACGATTATTAAAAAATAATAATTTGACATCTAATAAGTATTAAGGGCTGCTAATTAACTAATAACTAATGAATCAAGAAATAGATGCAACTAAAAAAAAAACTTTTGTTTTCAATATTGTAATTATTATACTAGTAATTTAATGAAATATGATAAACAGATTACTCTGTATAGTTTTACAAAATATTTAACATGAAAAAAAAAACAAGTGAATTCTTGGATAATAATTCTTTTAATTGTGTAAATCTTTAGTAAATATTCCTTTACAATATGTAAAAATTAGAAGAATTTTAGAGCATTACAAATTATAAAACAAAATTGAAAATATTTTATGTAAGGAAAAACTGCGTTTCTGGACAACAGAAGTGAAAAGTAAAATCGCCTGGGACTAATAAAAATATAGAATTTTGATGTACCATTATAAACGCTATTACTTTAGGTCATTTATCATTTAACCGTTGTGGAAGTATCGTTTTTTGACGTCGGATGAAATTTTCTAGCGAGTCTATTTTTTATTATACAGTTTATCAGATACTTTGCTTGTGTATAAAAGAAATCCGGATACAGTAATGTATAAGTAACTATTACGGGTTACCGGCGATAAACAAAACGGCATTTGTCAGTAGAAAATAAAAGGCAACCGTGATAAATTGTTTGTCGGTCTAGAGATTGGCTTTCTATTGACGCAGTATACGAGGCGAGGGCAATCGTGTTGGTATATCACGGGAGCAAATGTATACGCAAAGGTTAGGGGAAGCGGGGGAGGGCTCTTCTAGTAAAATAGTTGCCAAAGACTGGCCGGTCGCCGTGGACTTGGTATAAAGATAAACTGGTCGCCCGGAACGGCTTGGAGTACGGTACAATGGTCGAAGTCGTGTATACTCATGTATACAATGGAGGCGACTAAACACAAATACACAGAATCCCCATCATCTATCTAACGTGTTTGGTACACGTCCAAACCACGCCCACCACTGTCTATATTCCATTCTCCTCTGCATTATACCGCTGTACTTTTTCATTCGACTGGTGTGTTTTCTCTTTTCCCTTTTACCCCAACCGTCGTGTTTTTGTTTTTCAGATCGGCCAGGTTTTCTGATGTAAAACAAATTGATTGCTCTGAGTTTTTATTGTTTCTTATAGCTAGATGTTTTTATTTTTCCTACCCCAAATCGAATCCATGGCAAGTTTTTAGCTTAAAGTATGTTTCATGCTCTCTTTATTTTAGCTTTCGTTATCTATCTTTAGTTGATATCATAAAGACACACCATCAGTTTTGGTGATCAAAATACATCTTTGTATAAACTTAGGATTTTTTTAAGGGTTGTCTTTATTGATTAGCAGCAAATTGATTCAGTAAATTTGTTTCAAATACTATAGACATTAAACTCAACTTTCTGCAATGAACACTTTCAATACATGTTGTATAGTCTTCCTAAGATTTGAAGTATTATTCAAATGTATAGTATTAACATCAAAACTTTTAAATTAAAGTTTAAATTCATTCAACATTCACGATTTGCGAAGAGTTAAAATACATTGTATACATTTCTTTTGTTTCTGATCTTTAAGTATTATTTAATAATGTATCATTATATACACATACACTTCATTGTAATGTTATTTCAATTTTAAACCCAATTTAAAAACTTTTATATTTTTTGCTATTTAATAATCACGGGTTCAACTATTAATAAAAATAAGCAATAACATCATAATAATTATAAAATGTATAAAGAAAAATATTAACGACATTTAAAATACGAGATTTCTATGTAATGTAAACTTTTAACATGATTAATTTTCTGTCACTAGCTGTAACAGTCACACACTTATAGGCTCAAAACTACTGCAGAAAATTAAGGAAGTAGAGGAAAAAATAATGTAAATACAATACATACAATGCATGTAGACAATTATTCTACTAACAGAAGGCAACAAGGATGTCAACTCGCAGTCCCAACCGTATCTATTCTATTATGTATGCTGAAACCAAGTGTGAACAGAAAAAAGGGAAACTATCTTACTAATTTAATTATTGCCGTTGTGATAGTTTGTGTAAATTAACTACTTCTTCTAAGATACAAATAATTAATTATATATACATTTTTGTTTGATTATGTATTATTAAAATTGAATTTTTATTTTATCTAAATTGGTCACTATGGTTAATTAAAACAGAGTTTTTGAATAGATTTTTAGAGTTTTCAATAAATGATAAAAAATCAATTTTAGTAGATAATTTTATTGAAATATGTGTACAATTTTTTTGTAATAATTTATTATTTATTAAAAATTCTATAAAAAACATAAACTTTGTTTTAATACCCAGGAACCATGGATTTTTATTGAATCTGAGAAAAATATTAAAACGCTATTGTCTCATTAATTTACTATCAGTCATCTTGATAATTAATAGGTTTTGTGTTTTTGGAAAAATTAATTTACTACGAGTAAATTACGAGTAATTATTAGTAAACATCTAAAAATTT